ATCCAACTCTGGATTGTGGTTTCTTAAATGATGGCCAAACCCCTATGTTTTTTAGTGTAAATGTTCCTCAAAACACCAGTGAATTATTATTGTTTTTGGTCACGTGACTCTTCTCGCTTTGGAGCTAATGCATGCAGAGCAGCTATAAGTGATGCATGTTCACACTTCACCTAAAAAACAGAATTTTTGAAGACCCGAACTATGATTTGTATGAGCTTTTCTAGTAGTGTAAATGATCATTTTTTTAAAGTATGTTTTCTTTTTCTTCAAATAGGTTTTATGGCAATATAAATGGGTCTTATCTATCTCACATTAACTGCCAATCGCCAAGAGAACAAATATGTACTGCTATTGTAAATTTCAGAGTTTATCTGTAACTATAAATATCCACAATTAGACAATCCCCTATACAGTGTGCAAGCCACAACATCGACATATTATATACTCTTATTGCCATTTTTATGGGATACAAAAATCCAATCATAAAAAGCAATTAACATAACTATGTATGTGTGGCTTTATTGAAAGCTAATGCTAATGTATCTATCAAAGTTTATCTGTATTTATATATCAATAGAGACATTTCTAGTATAATGCACAGACTAACAGCGTGCCACATATATTCTTAAATATGGCTAATGTAAATGGTATAATAACCCAATCATAAAAGTGAATATCACAAGTGTTTGTATCCAGATCAAACAATGATTATGATCATGATAGTGTCACTTGATTGGTATATCATGTTCCAGCTATATGGTGTAATACAATCCTATGATGATACAGCCGTTCAGATATCCAACTCGATCGGTGAGATTAACGTGGTCTGAATTTACAGTTCAATTCTGAGATTATCCTGTTCTGAATTTACACAATTCAGTTATCTGCAATTCAATACAAGTGTAATGTGTATGCAGCTTCATGCCTAGGTCAAGTACTGAAATCGGCCCTGAACTCAAGGGAAAGACAAATTCTTCCCTATTATACAAGAAGTCTGGAATATGAAGACTACTAGAAGCTAATACCCAATCTACAATTATCAGAGTAGATGGATAAAAATAATAATAACAACATTTATAATGCGCACATATCCACCCCAAGAGATGCTCAAGGCGCCTAACAAGGTAAATACAACCTAACAGTTATTTAACATAATTAAATATAATTCAACAATGTTAAATACATCAGATTATGAAATACACTACGTCTTAACTAAGGAATTCAGACATTAGATAGGTTTTCAATTTTTTTGGAACAAATTTAGATAGAGCATTGAGCTCAACATTAATGTGGATTCTGTATCATCTGTTTGGAGCCATGCAGAAGGGTGTTAATTCATATACTTTGACACAGAGTTAAAGGGATAGTTGAGTTCTGTTGCAGAGGGCGCTACACAGAATAATTTTTTGGGAGATACTGAAAAACCAAGTGTCAAATTTGAAAGAACTTTAATTTAATGACATAATCATCTTTGTTTGATCAAAATCGGATTCAGAGACGGCTGAAATATAACGATTTCCAATACTTGTGTACCACCACAAATATTAGGTATTTTGAAAAATTTGAAAAAACTGTTGAAAAGTTTGAAATAACGCCTTTTACGTCGTATTTCAGCCTATGGCGATGTTGGCTTTTTGTTGGCTTTTTGTTGGCATTTTCGTGCTGCTTATATTACGCACAACCAGCCGGCAAATGTATTGTTATTTTTAATTAAATAATTAATGAACGGTCACCATGTTTTTTGAAAGTGGAGCTGAATTGGTATGCTCGTAATGGCTAAATTACACACATTTTTGGGGACTAAAATTACCTTCTTATCAATTTTAGGTTCTAAAAGGGCACTAGAAATGTCAAAGATAAGAATAAGAGGAATAAAATAATACTCCCATCGTGAGCTCAACATTAATGTGGATTCTGTGTCATCTGTTTGGAGCCAGAAGGGCGTCATATACTATAACACAGAGTTAACGCCCTTCTGACTCTGAAAATGAGATGTAAGCCCAATTAGTCTACATACTCTATCCAAATCTATCCAACACAAATCATCGGCAGAGGAGAAAGTTATCCACCGTTTTTATGCTACATTGATGGAATAAAATAATACTCCCATCGTGAAATTTTACATAAAATCCCCTTGAACTAGATGTTATTTGCAACATTACCAAAGTTTTGTGAAATTATCATCATAAAAAGTATTGATTCTAATGTAATTTTTAATCATTTGAGCAATGGATTTCAAGCTACATGTAAGTGTTAAAAACAAGAGATAATTTTGTCAAAAAAATTGAAAAAAGACAGAAAGAATTTGAAAAACTCTTTTATTTTGGGTATTTCACTCTGAAAAAAATCATTTTGCTATGGTATTCTGTTGCATCTGTATTTTTAAATTAGCATTTATCATAAAGACAAAACAAAATGATAATGCTTTTTTTAATACATTCTCGTTCTATTTTTATTCTGCTCAGTTACCTCAAGGAAATGATGTGGCAAGTTGATTAAAATACTGAGTCAAAGTGCTCTCAAAGTAATATGCCTCGGTGGATTGTGGTATTTCATTATTTCAGCCTTCTTGCTTAAAGGGATAGTCGAGTTCTGTTTTCAGACCGCAAATGCCTTCAAAGTGCATGCTTATTGCTCTTATTATTATACCGGTATATGACATTTCTAGTGACCTTTTGGGACCTAAAATTGCCATGAAGGTAATTTTAGACCCCAAAATGTATAAAATTTAACCAATACGATCATACCAATTCAGTCAGCTCCACTTTCAAAAAAATATGGTGACCGTTAATTAATTGTGCGTAATATAACCAACACAAAAAAATCCAACTTCGGCATTGGCTAAAATACAACGTAAAAGGCGCTCTTTCGTTTTTTCAACGGCTTTTTCAAATCATTGAATATTTGTGGTGGTACACAAATATTAGAAATCATTATATTTATGGATATTTCAGCCGTCTCTGAACCGATTTTGATCAAACAAAGATGATTTTGTCATTTAAATTGTATGTTCTTTTGACACTCAGTTTTTTTTATTATCTCACAAAAAAATTATTTTGTGTAGCACCCTCTGCAACAAAACTCAACTATCCCTAGTAATGTATGTATAAACACTGCTCTGACTGTGGGAAACATGCAGATGTAATATCTCGAAAATATTGTGGCTTGATTTCTGAAAGGAAATAATCCTCTTCCTGACTGGAGGTATTTTGATTCCTTCGAGGAAGATTATACACTTTCTCTTTTACAATGTATATCAGTAGCTGCATATCAGTAGCTGCATATTGTTGATGGCAAGCTTTCTTCAAAAAGTTTCAGGAAGTTCCCCATTCAAACTGTGTTTCCGCTCTGGACGTTTATGTACTTTCTTCATCGCATTATTTTTCATTTACCAAATTAGAAAGAGCAAGAGAGTGGGGAATCTTGGATAATTAAAAAATAATAGATGACTGTGCATATGAAAATAGATTCTGACTCAAGTTATCAATCGCAGTTTTATAAATGTAAATGGCATTATCAAGTCCCCAAATGTTATCATTTGAACATGACTCAAGTAACTATTAATTTGTTCAAACATGAATGGTGGGTTTTGATGCCAAATAATTTGGCTCTAGAAAGTTCTTGGATTTGCAAATAAGAAATACAGCACTTCAAACAACTTCACTGTAAACCCACTACTTCTTATACTCCTGATCAGACTTATTATTACATGCCATGAATGAAGAAAAAAACAGGGTTTAAATCTTCTCATTTGTTGGTTTAATTTGAAGGAAAATTGTGTGAAGGGACTAGCACCTGTGCTTGAATAAGATTGCCATTTTACTGTGAGTAATACCTTTAGTGAATGGTATTAAATATCCCTTGACTTTGTGCAATAATAAAGATCCTTATAAAAGAATTAGACTTGGATTTAAGACAAATGGGAAAATAAAAGTTGATAATCAGAATGTGAGGCCCATGGTTACTGATGACTGATGTTTTGCAATTGAAGCAGATATCAGCGAATCACACATAACATACAAAGCACTCGCTAAATTCTTAGCTTAAGTGATCTTCCTCCACATTGCTTACAGCTGTTTTCAACATCATGACTCACATGGCGAAGGGCAAGCATTGAATGATGAATAGCGGAGTAGGAAAGAGAGTCAGGTCTACCGCTCTACAATGCATGTGCAGAGAACATAATTATGTAGATCCAGGATACGCATTTAGTATATTGCAGCAATGATCAAGATATTAGTATTCAAAGATCATACTCCTATATAGGTCACAACTATTTCTTTTAATCAAGAACTAATACTTACTTTTAAATAAAATTCCTAGTATTCTAGATATCAGTTCTGCATATCAACCATGAAGAGTGTCAACTAATTTATAAATTTAAACATATAGATTATCTTTTAATTTGGAACTGATCCTTATTTTTAAACAAAATTTTTAATGACTTTCAAAAAGAAAGTCTAGATATATCAGTTCCGAATCTCTCTCTCTCTCTCTGTCAATCTGTCTGTCTCTGTCTGTCTGCCTGTCTCTGTCTGTCTGTCTGTCTCTCTCTCTCTCTCTCTGTCTGTCTGTCTGTCTGTGTGTGTGTGTGTGTCCCTCACCCCCCCTCTCTCTCTCTCTCTCTGGTGCTCTGTTGTACAGCAGGTTTTAAGCATGAAAACAACTTCATCTGTTAGGTAAGTATCCTTCACTGATTCAATCCAACATCATAATTCTTTTCCTTCAAAAATTGCCAACAAATTTAAACACATTAAAGGGACTTTGTATAACTCTACTTTGTAACATTGCTCAGATGAGAGAAAATGGTGCGAAGGTAGTGACTTCAAAGCTAGATGTACAAATAAAGATAATCTGAAAGTTTGAGTGAAAACTGACAGTTACAAATCGGGAAAAGCTGACCTAATTGATTCCTTAATTCTCCCAACTATATTATAACAATTTAATTACATTTTAGGTGAATGTAAATCGTCAAAAAGCAATGAATAATTGGCTTATTTACTATTCCAGACATTTAAGTGTTGACAGATTCTTAAAAGTCTGTCGTGTGTCTTAGGGAAAAAGGTTGGGAAAATTCAAAAATGGTTGGGAATATTTACTGTTAATCACTGTGAGAGGGTGTTGCACAGTGACGCCTACAAAGAAAACTATAAATATCTTTGTGGTTTGAGAATTTTCTCAGGGTTTTTTGCCTTTTAGAGGGTAAGTACAGTAGGGGGAATATAATAAGTAACATTTCATACAAAAATTACACAGTCCTTTGCAGGACTACAAACCCTCAAGAAAGATTACCGAGAGTCGTTTTCAGGACTCCTCAATCCTCCCTCTCTCTCACATGGTGCAATGCAAGCCTACTGTATAAAAATTACACAGTTTTTTCATCAACCTTCAACAATGTTACCGAGTCACTTTAAGTTGATGACAACTGAATCCTCTGTTTCTTTTGCTCAGCATTACGGTTGCCCCGCAATGCAGTAAAGAAAATATCCTTTTGTCATATTTCATCTTGATGCACATTTTGGTCTAACACTTTGATTCTATGGTAGCTATCTTGTTTACTCTTCAGCTCAATTTGATCTTCAAAAAATATCTTTCCCTTTATTATAATAACTGATAATAGATAGTTCCAGTCTAATTTAAACTGCTTCCCAATTTCTAGCAGGGCTGGAAATTTGAATTCAGTTATCAAAATCAAACTGATGAAAAAAATCTGAATTACTGATTCTTTTGCCCCAAAATAAGTGATTTGAATCAGTTTTAATCTTTTGCTAGCCCAGAGTTTTCAGTAAGATAAATGCTTAATCATAATTTGTTTCAATGCAACGATTATTTTCTATATGTATGGTGGATTATTCACTTATGGTATAAAGGTAAGTAACTGCAAGCTATTTGTGATCAGAAGTATGACATCACTTTAATTTGTTTAAATATGCATCACTAATGGTAGATTACAGACAATTTAACAAGACTAGACTCATGGTTTATCAATCTTTCTTATATTATGACATTAAGCTTATCAATAATACTTACGCTAGATTAGTTAGAGGTATTTGTTTGTTGCCATTGTTGAGGACCTGTACACTCCCCGTGGTATCTACTATTGGTACTTTGAACTCATCAGACGGCATCTTACATCTAGTCTCCTCTCCAGCCACTTCCATCGGAGATCCATCAGAATTCTGTGCAGAAATATATTTTTAAAAACGACTTCATACATACATGTAGCTAAATAGTGTGACCTAAAAACTTTTTAAAGACGATTTTTTGAGTCTACTTTAGAAACAATCCAGAGAAATACATACTAAAACAATCAACTATATTGGATGGTAGAGTATCTCAGGTTGGGGAGGTCTGGACATATTTAAATACCTACATTTATGATTAATTATTTACAGACACTTAGCACAAATATTAAAATTTAAAATTCTATGAAAAGTGACAGTACAACATGCTATCCAAAAGAGGGGTGAGAGAATGTAATTTGTATAACCAGGATATGATTGACATGTATAATGTTATTTTTACCCCTAGCCTACCCCGTCCCCTCCCATAATGTACTACCAAACCTGTGGGATAATTACATGTAGTATACAATCTAAAAACATTACTTGTATCTAAATATAGCCTGAGTTTTATTCAAATGTCAATGAAGTCAGAGTCAATGGCTATATCATAACATTATTCTATTAAAAGCTTTGAATTTCTAAAGTAGAGGGTATGCCTAGTAGTGAGGGAATACAAAGATCACTTTTAGTTAGAAGATAAACAAACCTAATCAAAAAATCAATAAAACTTAACTTGAGATTAAAGAAACACTGGTCAGAGTGCATTACTAATTACACCAATAAATGACAAGAATTCTCTAAAGAGTTACGAGTAATGAAGGGCTAGAGACAAAAGCAAATATACTGAGTTTGAGTACAAAATGTACTATTATACCAAAATATATACTCACATCTTTTTAAAATCATTATTATTGCATTTTTCTTTGCAAATCAACAAAGAATAAGGAAGTGATGGTCTTAAGGTTCAACTAACATGGAATGAATTCATCAGTAAAACTCTCAAAATGAAGCTAAGAGCAACAACGACAATGAAAAGAGGAAGAAAAAGAATAATTGTCTAACAAGAAAACATTTCCAAAAGTTAACACTTAAAAATTTGAGAGGTTTACTCCCATAATTTCGCAACTTATTTCAATAAGAGTTAAAATAATTCTTTTCAACCATGGTATTAATAGTTTTGGTTTCTTTTACAAACCTCTCAAAACAAAATTTCAGAATGGATAATACACAACAGAATATACTTGCCAGGAGCATTTTACTAGTCAGATAGAAGCTGAAGGAAACGTTTTACGAAGACAGCACTTAATGACTACGCCAGCATGCATGGATTATAAGGAAGAAATACTACACAAAACTATACATGGGTTGTACATTCCAGTGTACGTCCAGCCAGAAATGACTGCCTAAAGCAATACACTACATTGAGAGCATACGTGTTAGCGTTGTAGCTTGGACGAGCTTTAGAATAGAATATGTGGTTTTGATAGATTCATCGAGTGTGGGGTGAAGTTCATGACATTCGATCAGACTTAGGGATCAAAATCTTTCAAAAGTGCAACGAGAAAGGACTGAAATGAGCAGGATGTCTCAGATATAGGTTGCTGACAACATGTTGTCATATCAAATCATCGACTTGAGGATCACTCTGTTTTTTATTGTTACTTTAATTAAACTTTATTAATTAGGTGTACCGCAAAGCTAATGCTATCTCTAAATATCACTTTATAACAAGAAATGACAAAAACTTAATAAAGGGTCATTTAACCAATGTTATATCTAAGAACAGCCTTAATTCCAAACAGATAAAAGTAACCAAATACAATTCAGCATGTTGTACCCTTTGGAATAGGTTCTATATAAATCCAATCATTTTCATTATTTAGCAAAAATTAATGGGTCTTTGGGGAAGAGAGTAACTTAAAAATATCTCTTTTTTAAGCAATTTCCAATTTCCATGAAGTTATCTATATTCAATTTAATTGAAATATATAAATTGCAACTTGTAAACAGATAAAGCAAAGCCTTCTTTCCTCTTTCTTTTAAAATGTCAAATTATTAGTATTTTCAAGATTACGCCATGGATTTATATAATAAAACAAATCATAACAATACATATATACTCAGAAATACCATAGTGTTTTATGTCCCCACTGGAGCAGTCTATAATTCTAAATCCATTTACAAAACCATCGACAACAAATTGGCTTACATATTGAAGGTACTTGTCAGCATTAGTTTTTCCACCTTATAATTTGCATATTTACCTTTCCATTGCTGTGTTCATGTACAGATGAGTGATTCTCTGTCTGGTGGAGATCTTCAAATTGAGGATTCTCAAAGCCATTGATATTAATGTTTGTCTCCTCAGGGATGAGTACGGCGCTCCCATGCATTCCGAGGTCGCACTCCTCATCATCATCGACATCATTGTTGTTGTAGAACTGAGTGTATTTGCTCATGTTTGTAGGTATAGCTGCTTCAGGCTTCATGAAGTATGCTGTACAGCAGGCAAAGAAACAATCTAATTATCTCTCTCTGTATGGAGTCTCTCCAGCGACAAACAACTGAGGCATTGCTCAAGGAAGGCACTAATTATAAACATGGCATGAACAAGGGGGACAAAGGATTTAACAGATTGCACCTTTAGGGACTGTCTACATGGCAATTCTACTCCCTGTGATAACGGACAGGTCTGCAAAACCAGATACCATGGTTTGTTCAATAGATTAAGTCATCATACAATGATTCAAGTTTTAATACTCCTACATGTACATATGTACAAAGCATTCATATCATTCAATATGTCTGATGGTAACTCTGGTATAGTGAAAAGCATTTTCTGTATATTCTGAAAGACAGCTAGTGCACATATAAAAATAAGCAACATTAAAGCCTTAACTACAAGGCAATACAATAGTTACTATTTGTTTCCCTCAGAATATATAATGTTTCCTGAGTTAGGAGGTAGTTTAACAATATACAGTTATTAAATCTAAACAATTACAATTTTTATAAAAACAAGGGAGAGAGAAAGACAGTCACTTCAAGAGAAATCTTCATATGTGGCTTTATCTTAACTAGAATATACTCTGTGCTACTTTGCAGGCAAGTAGAGATCTACAGTAAAATGTTTAGAACACTCACTCTTTAACATATCAGAGTTATGATTAAACTTCTAGGCTGTAAGATTGTTAGGATATTACCCCCCCCCCCTCAACTCACCATCGCCACCACTAACAGAGCATACCCATGTATGCAACCCAGGAAATAGAAGAAGGGGAATTTCTCTTTGACAAAACAATGACAATTTCCAGCACATCACCATAGATTCAATTACACTTTGAACATCTTCAATTCTACTAAAAATTAAGTACCAGTAAACACAAAGTATCCTTAACAAATCAATAACTCAATTATTAATAGACTTTTTGAAACTAATACTGTACGAAAAAAGAACACTTAAAACACATTAATGACTTACCTCATACTTCTCAGATCACCATACTTGTACAGCCAGGTGTAAATCAAATCCAGAAGTGTATAAGGACATATAAGTCCTTGATACTCCCCCGGTCTATAACCCTGATCCCACAGCATCAAACTGGTTCCATCCAAACAGTAGAGGCTGCTCTTTCACTTCCTGGATTTTGTCTGTTAAAGTAACTAAACCGGAATAGCCTTCATTCGCAACATTTATACATACGTACTATGGAACTTGTGTATTTATTTTAACATGAATTCAGTTCAGCATCTAAGATCAATTGCCATAGATAGTCATTTTTAAGACATCAAGTTTACAATAATGTGATACAATTTATTGGAGGTGTTTTTCATGACTGATACCTTAACAAACAAAACAAGAATATATGAAATCATAACTATATTCAGATACTGGCTTGTTCATTTACCCACAACTACAATGATTCAAACCTTTTTTTTTCCTGGTTAAATTATCCTCAACTTTCACTGATTCATTTCTTCATGCTTTTCTTTATAGTAAATTTATATCCTGATGTTAAGACTCAACTATATTAAAGGTGAATTTCTCTTCTTTTTCAGCAATTTTTATTCACTTTGTTGAAGAATCCAAGGAAGATTCAATTCCATACCTTTGAAAAGAATCCTAATAGATGGGTCATCATGTTGCTACATATAATGTCTTCTTTAGGAGTTTGAGATAGAAGCATATTTTAAACAAGGGAGACCTACATAAATCATGAGCTAGTAACTGAAATTAGAAGGAAGGTAAATTTGCTCGAAAAAAGATAACAGCCCCGGCCTGTAGTTGAGACTAAGACTAATAACAAAATTTCTTGGGTTGTGCCAAAATAATCAACAATTAAGGATTTCCCGAAGATGTGGGTTTGTCAGCTACTGCAATCCAACAAAAACAGGATACCATTTTCCTGATCTGCAGACTCACACAGGAATGAGTAGCAGAGGCAAAGAATATGAAGAGGGATGAAAGCTTAGTGCAGCCTGGAGACGAGCTTTACTTTACTTGAATCTGCTTGAATGCTAACAAGCTACCCGGTAAATAACAAAAATATGAATAATAATTGGGTCTTTACAGCTACATCTGCTCCTTTAGTGGGCCCTGGAATTATTATTACCCTGGTATCACCAGAAACTCATTTACACACCTGGGTGGAGAGTGGCAAATTTGGATTAACATACAGTCTTGCCAATACTTACAAGCATTTATGCTTTCTTAGCAGTCAGGTAAAATAACCACCACCACCACCACCACCACCACCAAAGGGTGATATAGTGCTGGGTTCAAAGCAGAGCAGCCAAATACATAGTGCTCTTGATATCGGATTACCATTTATACCTGGTCAGGAGCCCGGCCCCCTCACTCCGTAAACGGAGGGATACCATGCGTGTTACCAAAAAAAAGGGGTACTTTTTCACACATCAAAGTCCGGCTCGTAGTACACAAAAATCTGGCCCGTATTGACTTTACACCCTGGACTTAGGGGGGTGTTTTCAAAAGGAGGGAACATGCATATATGCGTACCCTAAATATTGCTGAGTGGGGGGGGGGGGCCGGGGTCAGGAGTAAAGTGGATTGATTTCTTGCCAATAAAACTTATAGTGCTGGGCTGTTGGATGGTTACAACGAAACCATCCATCCTTGGATTGAGGGTCAAGTGAATGAACCACAAGGCCGTGACATGCACCTCCACACAACCGAACAGACAAAGGAGAGATTTATGCACTCATATATTACTAGTAGTTTTTTTCAAATAATAAATCTGGAGGATTACTATACTAACCATGATTAGAACCGGGGATGAGAAAAGATTTTGCTCTCTGCCATTGCATCTATGTTCACATTTATAATGAAGCTTTACTACAGGTCAAGTGAGAATGGAAGAACAACCGCAACTCTGAAAATTAAAAAAAAAATAATAATGAAACAAATTAAAATCCTTACAAAATTAAAAAAAACTTGCTTTCATATAAACTTTTGTTAAAATTGGTAGCAGCAGTTTGTTCCCGGACCCCCCCCCCCCCCATTCCGGGAACGGAGGGACCACATGCGTGTTCCCCAAATCTCTGGCTCGTAACAAAGAAAAAGATCTGCCCGTATTGACTTTACACACCAGACTTATGCTGAAAAGGGGGGGGGGGGGGGGAGGTACGTGCTGGGAACACGCATGTCTGCATACCCTAAAGAACACCGAGTGGGGGGGGGGGGGGGGAGTTTGTAAAGGACATAATTTCACAAGATCAAGGACATAGCAACAACTGACATGATACTGAGAGAAATGGAAAGGACGCCAGACGTGATCACGGTACCGTAACGTAATATGAGACCTTGATTAGTTGAATAAACAGACCATGATCATCTGCTGTTGTCAAGCCATTGAGTGATAATAATTATGAGGAGGTGAAATAACCTCCATGCCATTTACAATATTTTCCAGCATTCCAAGCTTAAGACTAATAATAATACCCCTTTAGCAAGAGATTTCTCGCCTCGATGTGCCTGCCCCGTCTCCATATTCATTGCCCTAGGCCTATACCTCTGCTCTCGTCTCCCGTCCGATGATTCCATAGATTCCATAGATTCCCCGCACAATGGGGTGATGATCTATAAACAAGCTAGCGGTAGTAAACCCTCTGCTGATCAGCACAAAACTCCTTAAACTCCAACTAAGCACTTCTTATGGTAGGTTCAAACGTGTTAGAGCAAGACATGATACGTCCATAGTGCATCATTTAACTGAATAGGCCTGCATCAGGAAGTCATCCGCGTTAACTTACTTAATTGTCGTACTTTTTCTGTCTCCAAATCGTCATATGATCTTCGGGATCACTAGCACAGAGCTGGTATATGGTGCAAGATCATCATCATCATCACTGCACAGCTGCACTGGCACTGCATGTTCTCAACTGTTTTAATTAGTCTTATTCTGCAGACCCATGGGTGGAATACCTGGAAATGGGGAAGATCATAGTGGGTGTGCAGCATGGGAGAATTATAGTTGATTTTGTCCATAAGACAGGAAGACAATGATGCAAATAATAAAGTTTCGATATAGGTCTATTTAGCTTTGTTTAGAACTGTTTGGTAAGTGGATAAACGCCTGTCAATTATCTGCTCAAAGTAAACCATGTGAGACTGTGAGTAAAACCGCCCGGTTTATTGATCTCAAAAGAGGCGTGGCAGACTAGCACTGGGCGTGTCACCAAACTTTTGGCAAATGATAGCCGCGGTCCGCGGACAGGAAAGGGGACGGCAGGACAGAGAGTTTATTCGACTGCGACGGTCCTCACGCAAGGCCCCAGTTCTCATTTGTAAACTATTCAGATTTCTAGGGACGGCGTAGCGAAGTCATGGGACCCGTTTTTACCGTAACGTTTCTCCTCGTTTTTATCTTTCTTGTTATTCTTTGTTTTTCTCCTTCTATCATTTTCTCTTACTATGTTTCCTTATGTTATTATTTGTTTTCATCCTTCTATCATTTTCTCTTTCTATGTTGCCTTATGTTATTATTTGTTTTCATTCTTCTATCATTTTCTCTTTCTATGTTGCCTTATGTTATTATTTGTTTTCATTCTTCTATCATTTTCTCTTTCTATGTTTCCTTATGTTATTCTTTGTTTTCATTCTTCTATCATTTTCTCTTTCTATGTTGCCTTATGTTATTCTTTGTTTTCATCCTTCTATCATTTTCTCTTTCTATGTTGCCTTATGTTATTATTTGTTTTCATTCTTCTATCATTTTCTCTTTCTATGTTTCCTTACGTTATTATTTGTTTTCATCCTTCTATCATTTCTCTTTCTATGTTGCCTAATGTTATTCTTTGTTTTCATTTTTCTATTATTTTCTCTTTCTATGTTTCCTTATGTTATTCTTTGTTTTCATTCTTCTATCATTTTCTCTTTCTATGTTGCCTTATGTTATTCTTTGTTTTCATTCTTCTACGACTTTTACAAATCTTAGCCATGCAAATCTGCCACTGTGTTGTAAGATCACTTTCAGATTAGGAGAAGTGTATTCTTTAATGAGTATTTTACATTGAATGGAACGTCTCAACTCAGTAAGCATGGCTGAGATTTGTAAAAGTTGTTTTTACAAAGAAGATTCGGGTGAATAGCAGTGCTTATTCAAACAAATATTCGCATCAATTTGAATCACAATCATTATTTGTCGCTTAATCCCTTTTAATGACCTTGTTTTCTTTCTCGTTTGCAAGGGGAGAAGAAGATATGTCACGTTAAAGACATCATAAAGATCAGTGTTGTATGCGTATATATTATATACACAGGCCAGTAACAGCTATGTAGCTTGTAAATTTGTAAGAGGGAAAATGCTGATTGAAATGATAATGATGAAATAGCAAATAATTGAGGAGTATCATAGGTACCAATTCAATGGATATTTGTATAAAAAAGAGCCCCCGTCAGTACTAAAAGAGCCCCCGTGAGAAGGCTCACGGGGGCTCTTTTTTAGGGGAAGAGCCCCCGTGGACAAAAAAAATAATTTGAGCCCTGGTAGGGTGGTAGTAGAGGTAGGGTGGTAGTAGAGGTAGGGTGGTAGTAGAGGTAGGGTGGTAGTAGAGGTAGGGTGGTAGTAGAGGTAGGGTTGGAGTAGAGATAGGGTGGTAGTAGAGGTAGGGTGGTAGTAGAGGTAGGGTTGGAGTAGAGGTAGGGTGGTAGTAGAGGTAGGGTGGTAGTAGAGGTAGGGTTGGAGTAGAGGGAGGGTGGTAGTAGAGGTAGGGTTGGAGTAGAGGTAGGGTGGTAGTAGAGGTAGGGTGGTAGTAGAGGTGGGGTTGGAGTAGATGTAGGGTGGTAGTAGAGGTAGGGTTGGAGTAGAGGTAGGGTGGTAGTAGAGGTAGGGTGGTAGTAGAGGTAGGGTGGTAGTAGAGGTAGGGTTGGAGTAGATGTAGGGTGGTAGTAGAGGTAGGGTTGGAGTAGATGTAGGGTGGTAGTAGAGGTAGGGTTGGAGTAGAGGGAGGGTGGTAGTAGAGGTAGGGTTGGAGTAGAGGTAGGGTTGGAGTAGAGGGAGGGTGGTAGTAGAGGTAGGGTGGTAGTAGAGGTAGGTGGTAGTAGAGGTAGGGTGGTAGTAGAGGTAGGGTGGTAGTAGAGGTAGGGTGGTAGTAGAGGTAGGGTTGGAGTAGATGTAGGGTGGTAGTAGAGGTAGGGTTGGAGTAGATGTAGGGTGGTAGTAGAGGTAGGGTTGGAGTAGAGGTAGGGTGGTAGTAGAGGTAGGGTTGGAGTAGAGGTAGGGTTGGAGTAGAGGGAGGGTGGTAGTAGAGGTAGGGTGGTAGTAGAGGTAGGTGGTAGTAGAGGTAGGGTGGTAGTAGAGGTAGGGTTGGAGTAGAGGTAGGGTGGTAGTAGAGGTGGGGTTGGAGTAGATGTAGGGTGGTAGTAGAGGTGGGGTTGGAGTAGGGTGGTAGTAGACGTAGGGTGGTAGTAGAGGTAGGGTGGTAGTAGAGGTAGGTGGTAGTAGAGGTAGGGTGGTAGTAGAGGTAGGGTTGGAGTAGAGGGAGGGTGGTAGTAGAGGTAGGGTTGGAGTAGAGGTAGGGTTGGAGTAGAGGTAGGGTGGTAATAGAGGTAGGGTGGTAGTAGAGGTAGGGTTGGAGTAGAGGGAGGGTGGTAGTAGAGGTAGGGTTGGAGTAGAGGTAGGGTGGTAGTAGAGGTAGGGTGGTAGTAGAGGTAGGGTTGGAGTAGAGGTAGGGTGGTCGTAACAACCGATTCCTACGTTTTACAAGGAGTGACAAGGTAACCGATAAAAAAACACTTAATTTTTTTGAAAGAAAGTAACCGCCATTCATCCCATCTACTTTTTTAAGAATATACAATTGCTTTCATCCTGTAAACCTGGCTGATTTTAATTTAATTGCAGTCACTAAAATCACTCTTAAACACTGATCTCTACCCCCTCCCCCCCAAAAAAATATATATATATATATAGAGAGAGAGAGAGAGAGAGAGAGAGAGACGAGTGCCCTATATCAAATATCTGCCTCCAGCCGAAGATAGCGTTATCCTGAATGCGTAGACATACACATTCGTGGATCACGCCATCTTCGGCTCAGTGGCAGCAGGTAATGAGAGATTGAGGAAAAGAAAAAAATCCAGGGCGGTATTTTATCAAATGAAATTGATTCAAATTGAAAATTATTTTTTAAGTTCAATTCTAATGCTTTATAAAACACCCTATCCCCCCGACCATACCATTTATGGGTTTTCTAGACTATTACCATCTACAGTTAGTACACTTATCTTCAAAAATGTGGGATGCCTAAATTAAGTTCACATCACAAAGAATGTGCCTCCGGCAAAGGCGGCAAACATTGTTTTTTCGTTTGTTGTTTTAAGCTTGGAAGGTACTTTTTAGATTAAAAAAGGCGTTCCTAAAACTGTCATACCCCTATTGCCTGCTTTAAAAAAGATTTTTTTGACTCGTGCCCCTCCCCACAAGAAAATCCTGGATCTGCCAATGGCCATGAAGCGCCTCTGTTATGAGGCGACGGCATTCTCTTCAGTGCAAGAGATCTTGAGAGAAATAGCAGGATAATACCATCACTATTAAAAAAGCGTATCATTCTCAAGAGTCACATTTTCACTGTCATCGTTACTTGCATCTTTAATACTGCGGAGAATATTATAGATGGATGAGGCCCCTGGGAATGGAAGATGGTTTGATGGGGGAGAGACAGGCTCCGGCTAGGGGATGCGGTCTCACTTGCCCTGGAGTGGAGTGATGGTTTACACGGTAGTGAGAATGGTGATGATGAAAGTGGTGAGGAGACATTCATATCTTAGGAAAGGGATCGGGGATGATTGGGAAGTCGCGTTCAGTCATCTGTTCGTTTCCCTTTTACATCGAGAACGGTGATGTGATGATGACGAAGACATAATAGGATTATTCTTTTATACAGTCATGGAAGGGCCGGACTTTCGGTATCGCTCATCTATCTACGACCCTCCCTCCATTTATATTGGGAATAGTGATGTTGAAAGAGAAAATATAGGGATGAAGTCTTTATCTTTGAGCGAGGAATCGGAGATGAGACGGGATTGGACTGGGAAAAATAGGGATCGGCTGATCTTTTCTGGTGATTTCTAATTTGATAGATAGACTCTATGCTGATTACGCGTAGGATTTTAAAAAAATACCATATTTCGAATTTTGAAATATGAGATATAATCGGAGGGGAGGGCAAAAAATTCAAGCTAATTATTGTGAACCTGTGAACCCCACTTTTACTTGGTGATGCCATATTCATATGCCCTAGTTCGAGGTGCACACTGAGGTTTGCTATTTGTGTCAAGAGTATTGGTTAACGCGTTAAAGCGGCGGAGAAAGGTGATGATGAAATTAATAATGTAAGAAGACGAGGGAGAGCCTTTTGGATCATCTTTAGAATGAGAAGAGTTGGTTACATCGTATACCCAGACTGATTCATTCGTTGACAAGTTCATAACTACTTGGTGCACATTGCTCGATAAGGGGGAGTGGGAGGGGAAGGCTTTGATATATAATATTCATTCAGTATATTTGAAGACATTATGTACTGTGTATTTAACTGTATTATGTATTTCTGAAGGCTGTAGAATTTTCTTAATGAGCCGCGCAGCAGTAAAAAGTAAAAATTAAACAGGACACAGAATATAAATGAATGAACACAGCTCTTGTTGTACCTTTGTTTCTGTGCTAATTCTGGCAAGCACCATTTATAATATCCTATTAACTTTTTCTTCATTATCACACATGACTGTAATGAGTCGTTTATACCTCTATGAATTATTATCAGTTATTTATAATTTATATTTGTATACGAGGGATGGGGAGATAAGAGGCTTCAAAGAGGCTGATCAAATCAACTGTAGTGTTCCTGCCTGACCCCCCCCCCCCCAAAAAAAAAAAAAAAAAAAAAAAATCCAAACAAAATCCCCAATTGCCTTTGTCTGA